AGAGATAAATTTCCTGGAATTCTATAATTTGTTTTGTGTTTTTTTGGGTATCATTTCCGTAAGATTTGTACAAGATATAAAGGAGGTTATATTAATGTTTTTTTAATACGGTGAGTATCTGATCTTCAGAACTAAATTTCCTCGAATTTTGTATTTTCTTTTGTAGGCTTTTTGTGTGTTTTCCGTAAAATTTATAAAAGAGGATTTATTTGTGTTTTTTTAATACTAGGAGTATCTGATCTTAAGCATGTTAAGAACTAAATTTCCCCAACTCCCAAATATGGCCTTGTAGGGATTTTCTTGGTGATTCCTACGAGAAAATTGTAATTTTGTAGATTTATGAAACATCCTCCTGAGTATCATGTTTTGTATCCCTCTGATGATACAAGCTGTTGTTGATACAGATCTGTGGCTGGGTAAATGATACGTGAGATAGTTGTCACAACATCAACAGTTTCAGGTGTCTCATGCCAGTGAAGTCAGTAAATATCTCAGTGGCCGGTCAGACGAGGACTGCTAGGACTGCTAGGAAGCTGGAATGTTATCATGGTTATCAGGATGGTCCTGTCAGCTAAAGAGTGAAGATAAAGTCCTATATTGCACAGGGTGAAGATAAAGTCCTATATTGCACAGGGTGAAGATAAAGTCCTATATTGCGCAGGGTGTAGATAAAGTCCTATATTGCACAGGGTGAAGATAAAGTCCTATATTGCGCAGGGTGTAGATAAAGTCCTATATTGCACAGGGTGTAGATAAAGTCCTATATAGCACAGGGAGTAGATAAAGTCCTATATTGCACAGGGTGTAGATAAAGTCCTATATTGCACAGGGTGTAGATAAAGTCCTATATTGCACAGGGTGAAGATAAAGTCCTATATTGCACAGGGAGAAGATAAAGTCCTATATTGCACAGGGTGAAGATAAAGTCCTATATTGCACAGGGTGTAGATAAAGTCCTATATTGCACAGGGAGAAGATAAAGTCCTATATTGCACAGGGTGTAGATAAAGTCCTATATTGCACAGGGTGTAGATAAAGTCCTATATTGCACAGGGAGAAGATAAAGTCCTATATTGCACAGGATGTAGATAAAGTCCTATATTGCACAGGAGTAGATAAAGTCCTATATTGCACAGGAGTAGATAAAGTTCTATATTGCACAGGGTGTAGATAAAGTCCTATATTGCACAGGGTGTAGATAAAGTCCTATATTGCACAGGGTGTAGATAAAGTCCTATATAGCACAGGGTGTAGATAAAGTCCTATATAGCACAGGGTGTAGATAAAGTCCTATATTGCACAGGGTGAAGATAAAGTCCTATATTGCACAGGGTGTAGATAAAGTCCTATATTGCACAGGGTGTAGATAAAGTCCTATATTGCACAGGGTGTAGATAAAGTCCTATATAGCACAGGGTGTAGATAAAGTCCTATATAGCACAGGGAGTAGATAAAGTCCTATATAGCACAGGATGTAGATAAAGTCCTATATTGCACAGGAGTAGATAAAGTCCTATATAGCACAGGATGTAGATAAAGTCCTATATTGCACAGGAGTAGATAAAGTCCTATATAGCACAGGATGTAGATAAAGTCCTATATTGCACAGGAGTAGATAAAGTCCTTTATTGCACAGGGTGAAGATAAAGTCCTATATTGCACAGGGTGAAGATAAAGTCCTATATTGCACAGGGTGTAGATAAAGTCCTATATTGCACAGGGTGTAGATAAAGTCCTATATTGCACAGGGTGTAGATAAAATCCTATATTGCACAGAGTGTAGATAAAGTCCTATATTGCACAGGGTGTAGATAAAGTCCTATATTGCACAGGGTGTAGATAAAGTCCTATATTGCACAGAGTGTAGATAAAGTCCTATATTGCACAGGAGTAGATAAAGTCCTATATTGCACAGGGTGTAGATAAAGTCCTATATTGCACAGGGTGTAGATAAAGTCCTATATTGCGCAGGGTGTAGATAAAGTCCTATATTGCACAGGAGTAGATAAAGTCCTATATAGCACAGGGTGTAGATAAAGTCCTATATTGCACAGGGTGTAGATAAAGTCCTATATTGCGCAGGGTGTAGATAAAGTCCTATATAGCATAGGGTGTAGATAAAGTCCCATAAAGAACAGGGTGTAGATAAAGTCCCATATGGCACAGGGTGTAGATAAAGTCCCATATAGCACAGGGTGTAGATCAAGTCCCATATATCACAGGGTGTAGATAAACTCCTATATAGAACAGGTGTAGATAAAGTCCTATATAGCACAGGTGTAGATAAAGTCCTATATAGCACAGGTGTAGATAAAGTCCTATATTGCACAGGGTGTAGATAAAGTCCTATATTGCGCAGGGTGTAGATAAAGTCCTATATTGCACAGGAGTAGATAAAGTCCTATATAGCACAGGGTGTAGATAAAGTCCTATATTGCACAGGGTGTAGATAAAGTCCTATATTGCGCAGGGTGTAGATAAAGTCCTATATAGCATAGGGTGTAGATAAAGTCCCATAAAGAACAGGGTGTAGATAAAGTCCCATATGGCACAGGGTGTAGATAAAGTCCCATATAGCACAGGGTGTAGATCAAGTCCCATATATCACAGGGTGTAGATAAACTCCTATATAGAACAGGTGTAGATAAAGTCCTATATAGCACAGGTGTAGATAAAGTCCTATATAGCACAGGGTGGATGGTGTATAAAATAGCTTTAATGTAATTTGTCCGAGATAGGTTGTTAAACTGTAAGATTGTCAAGAATTCCACCTGTGTCACCTTGGCTACATGGGTCTTTTCGTTGTCATGGTTACATATATATTATTTCGTGGAATGATGTCTCTGATTTCATATTGTCGTCTACAGTTGTTTTGCATATTAATGATTAACTAAGCAGTCTGTGAAGTTCTTATTGTTGACATATTTATTTGTAAAAGTGAAAATGTGGTGGGTAGGGATGTGCGGTTTTATCGGTATACCAGTATATTGCAATACCAATTCATCACGATACGTATCGCGATACGTTTTTGGCGTTTTGGTTTTTCCCTCATTATTCCAACTGTGACTGACATGTATATGCCATGATGTATAGTCTTACCTTATTAAATCAAAACAAAGACAAAACAAATGTTTCATACTCTTTATTTGATTGTAGATAAAAATAATAGTACAATTTATTAAAATTGGTTCATAATTTTGGCCAAATTGTTAACATTGCAGCTTCCATATTAATATTTGTCAAAGGGATATGAAAAAAAGCTTTTCTCTTGGTAGAAATTATTTCCCAATATATTGCAATAATATTGCAATATGTTTTTGAAATATTGCAATATATCGCAATACACTTTTTGGTCCAATTCCCAACCCTAGTGGTGGGTTTGAATGATTATGATTCACACTATGTGAAGAGGGCCATGAAACATGTGTTTGGCCAAGTAAGGGCCAATGCTTCACAGATAGTACTACTAGGCACGTACATTTGAATATAGCCGATATAAAACCACCCTTGCTTGTTGTGTACGAGACAGATATATTGACTGGGAACATTGCAGGGGTATTTCCGTCCATTCTGCTTCTGTCAGTGTCACAATGATATATACTTATCTTCTGGGTTTTTTCATGAAGTTTATGAGATTGAATGGAAATGTCGCGACTCGGCATGTCTTTAACATGTTTAGCATTTGTACTGCAAATGCTAATCCTTCAAATTCATATACAACTCAAAATGATTTAAGGACCAGTCGATTCTTTCATATTACTGTAGGTGAGTGAGTGAGTTTGATTTTACGCCGCTTTTAGCAATATTCCAGCAATATCACGGCGGGGGACACCAGAAATGGGCTTCACACATTGTACCCATGTCAGGAATCGAACCCGGGTCTTTGGGGTGACGAGCGAATATTACTGAAGGTAATCTGTCTGCCAAATAATCGGGTAGTCCTTTACATGTTTTGAGTAGTATACATAGAACATCTTATTTCAGAGAGACAATGTTCCAGTTTCTAACATGACATGAATTGTCGTGTCAGTGGCATATTGAAAGCTGTAGTATCAATGAGTGAGTGAGTGAGAATGGTTTTACGCCGCTTTTAGCAATATTCCAGCAATATCACGGCGGGGGACACCAGAAATGGGCTTCACACATTGCACCCATGTCGGGAATCGAACCCGGGTCTTCGTCATGACGAGCGAACACTTTAACCACTAGGCTACCCGACCGCCCCTAGCATCAATGAAGTCAGATTAACATGGATTTGAACTTTTTTATTTTTTAATGCAATGTTTGGGTAGCCTAGTGGTTAAAGTGTTTGCTCGTCATGCCGCAGGCCCGTGTTCGCTTCCCCCCTTGGTACAAATGTGTGGAGTGCATTTCTGATGTCTCCCACTATCATGTTGCTGGAATTTTAATAACAGCGGCGTAAAACCATACTCACTCACTCACTCACTCATTCAACATGTTCAATGTGGTGTTTCGGTACAGTTGCAAGTACTGTTATCAAGCATTGGGCCCGGATGGGGGGCAGTTGGGCCCAAGGTTTTTGATGCATTAATGTCAGGGCTGGGACGGGTAACTCGGGTACTCAGGATGCGTCCTTAGTAGGACCCGGGTACCCTAAGTACTACCCGGACCCGTGGTCAGTCACGTGATATATTGTTCAATGACAAAAACTCTACACTACAAATGGCTAATGTTTGCATTGCCTTCCGACAATGCACACTTTCCTTCTGACTTTATATGTTTGAGTAAAGAAAGCGTCAGTCAACTTAAGTGTCAACACGATCTGATCAACTTGTATCTAAACAGTTTTTGTCAGGGCTGCGGTACAATTCCCAATCAGACATTTTGTTCCCACATCTTGAGACCTACAGCGGGTACCCGGGTAGGGTCGGGTAATAGGGGGTCAGGTACCTGGGTAGTATATTTGGACTCATCCCAGCCCTAATTAATGTGCTAAACATGTTTTTGGAGACCCTCCACATGTCCTTGAACATTTTTCTCACGACCTTCCCAATTAAAAAAATAAAAAAGTTGAAATCCATGCTAGTCCCTTATGTGCCTACAAATTCTCTCTCGTTCAAATATTAAACAAACAATGGTTACTTTGTGGCTTTGAGTTTCCTATTCATGCATAGAGAAGTCATGATACACGTTTAATAACAGCAGGGAGAACCTTGTACTACTTGAGTTACAGGCATGTTATGAACTATATATCCTGCCTACACCGCCCTATATATATAGCCTTGTTAAATAGGTCATGTGAAATCAACGGGTGTACATTTCCTGTCACACAGAACTCATATATCGATTGTGACAGATTTTCGAAACTCACTGAGTCTAACAAGGTTATCACCCACACCTACAGCGGGGCGATTGACGGGTGAATATTATTTGGTAAATTTGTAACAAGTTTCCTATTGTTGCTCTGTCCGTCCTTTGACATCCGCACAATAAACCCTGATTCCCTAAATATTATTTGACATAAACGCATTGAATGCGAAATTGACATGATGTCTTTTGATGTCATTATGGTCGAGGATTCACCCATCCATGCATGGCTGGCTATTGTGACGGGACAGTTTGGATTGTTGTGGTCGGAGAGGATATTGGCTCTGAAGCATTGTGGTTTGAGGCTATAACTTTGGTGAAAGACTTTGGAACAAGAGTAAGTTCAGAGGGGTCGTGTGGATAACAGAGCTTGGACTATCAAGGTATGTTTAGATTTCTGTGGGCAGTTGTAGGCTATTCCATTCCAGGGATTCTTGCTGTTTAGCGTGTTTGTCTTTCAGGGTAGAATAACAGGATTGTGTTGTGGCAATATGGAGTTTTAGGGGTATACCTTGAGGTGGTTCTTCTGAATTAGGTGGGTAGGTTTTCATTCCAGGAAAGAAATAACAAGCTGACATTAGACAGAGTTTGTTTAGTTGATGTTGTTGTGATGGGATTACTTTGGAATTTTAATTTGCGAACTATGGCAATTTACTGAGTAAATATTTATTCATTAGCCTGGATTTCAGAAGAGTATATTCAGACCCCAAAGTCTGGCCCTTCTTATCTTCCAAAGGGGCGGTTGGGTAGCCTAGTGGTTAAAGCGTTCGCTCGTCACGCCGAAGACCCTGGTTCGATTACCGACATGGGTACAATGTGTGAAGCCCATTTCTGGTGTCCCCAGCGCGATATTGCTGGAATATTGCTAAAAGCGGCGTAAAACCATACTCACTCACTCACTCACTCTTATCTTCCGAGGACCAATCCTTAAAGTGATCTCAGTGGTGAGACGGTTGTTGCTCCATACATTAACACTGACTTAGGACAGTCATTATGCTAAGATCCCTTTGACGAACAGGGCCCTCGCCTGGTACGTGTAATGATCTTAGCGCTAAGGTGATCGTAACTCCCATATAGACTTACAACAGTCATTGCGTTATCGCATTATGAAACTTATCCTGGGCCCAATCCATGTAGTGATCTTAGCGCTAACATGATCGTTGTTAAGACAGTCGTAGTGCTGTGATCACTTTGCGGAACAGGGCTATTGGCCAAATCCATGTAGTGATCTTAGCGCGGAGGTGATTGTAAGCGTTACAACTGATGAAGTGCTACATTCACTTTGTGTAACAGGGCTATTGGCCCAATCCATGTAATGATCTTAGCGCAATGGTGATCGTAAGAGTTACGACAGCTGTAGTGCTACATTCACTTTGTATAACAGGGCTATTGGCCCAATCCACATAGTGATCTTAGCGCAATGGTGATTGTAAGAGTTACGACAGCTGTAGTGCTACATTCACTTTGTGTAACAGGGCTATTGGCCCAATCCATGTAGTGATCTTAGCGCAATGGTGATCGTAAGAGTTACGACAGCTGTAGTGCTACATTCACTTTGCGTAACGGGGCTATTGTAATGATCTTAGCGCAATGGTGATCGTAACTCCCACAGTCGAAGTACTAAGATGTCATATAATCAGACCAAGGTAACCAAGGTAACCAAGAAATATAGTGAAAAGGTAACACCATTTATGCATGTTCTGAATGAAGTGAAGTAGACTCAAGGCTGTGGTGATGAACAGGCTGTGTATTCCAAGTACAAGGGACGTTGTAGAGTAAGGTTACCTGTAGATTTAACAATTTGGAACCAAACTAAGCTCTGGCAGAGTTACTTCCCCATTTCAAACTGTCATGATAATAATATCAATATACATTTTTTTTTATGAAACAGGAAATTCGTTGTTTTTTTGCAGAGTGAGATAATATATATTCACTCTGGTGAATGGGAAAATAGAAAGTTTTTGTTTATGACGACAGACGGTAAAAATGATATGACCTCACCGGGACTTAACCCTTTATCTGTTGAGTTCAGTTGTTAATCTGGGCAGGTGTTTGGTGATTTCGTGCGATAACGAAAGTGTTAAGACAACCGCTGCATGTCACCTCGGTCGTGGAGGATTACGTACAGTTGAGGTCCTTCATAATTTGTTGCTTTTTATTCAGGATATCAAAGTTTGAACAGGTGTGATAAAAAGCCATGATTTTAATAACTCCTATCTACCCGGTCATTGAATTATCTGTGTACATAGACTTGTGTGTTGTTTCATCAGAGACATGTTATGGAATGATAGGTGAGGTGAAATAGGGTTTAACGTCGCGTCCGAAGATTATTACACTTATATAGCGATGTGCATGTACGTGTGTGTGTTTGTGTGGCTGCTTGTACTAGTCCGGACTGATGCCGATTTATAGTGCTAGCTCACTGAGATACCATGCTGCAGTTTGACATGAATACCCCACTCAGACACAGTATACTGACTCCGAGCCGACCAGTCCTTGTTTTAACCCCTTAAGGCCGAGCACCAGACAGGGCAACAAGTACCATCTTTTAACATCTTTTGGTATGGCGCGGGCGGGATCGAACCCGGACCTTCCGCTCTCCGGGCGGACGCTCTACCACTAGACCACGGAGGCGGTCTTATGGAATGATAGACTCTAAGTAAGATTATGGGCACTGATGGTCCAGTTTTTTCATCCCTGAGTTTTGCAGTGTGTGTTTCTTTGGGTGTCTGCACAGTGGTCTGAGGCCTTCAGCACTTAAAAAACACCAAATTTTTTTCATATCATTATTGTTAATCTGTCATGCCGAAACAGATTAACAATAGTCATATGAAAGAGTGAGAGAGTTGGGTTTAACGCCACTTTTAACATTATTCCAGTTATATCACAGCGTGTCAGCTTAATGTTGGAGGAAAGCCCGAAGTGATGCAGGTCTCAGACGTTTACCACTTCTGTGAAACCCACGAGCGCGGGTATGATGCTGACAAACCTAGAAACGTAATCGGGGCGAACCAGGATTCGGACCCACAATCATAGGTTTCTGGCGTGCCCAAGGGACACAACTCTGCACAGCGAATCGCGGCGCCTTCGGGCTTTCCTCCCACATTAAGCTGACACGCCGTGATATAACTGGAATAATGTTAAAAGTGGCGTTAAACCAACTCACTCACTCACTCACTCTACCAATGCTCTTATACGGAATTTCAGATCCCACCACTAAGAAAAATGAACTGATTTTTATACATGTTAAAGCTGTAAGTCACTATATAGATAAAAGTAAATAATTTGTGTAACTTTGTTCCTTGTTGTACACAGCCTCCTTTCACTGTCACTCTGTTTCTTTGCATGTTTTGTAGTGTGATGGTATAGTGTATGGATGAGTCCACGGAGAGGGGTTTTCAACTTGTTCTAAGTTGTGAGAACTTGTCCCTAATCCATTTCACTTACGTTAAACTATGATTAGACTTTCACTGTGGACTAGATCCTGGATGCTCTTTTCCATCAAGCTGGAGCGTTCACAGCTGTGTTCTATTTCCCTAACTTCAGCATAATGGAATTACAACTGATTACCTGTGTCACGCCCCACTTGTTGTTGTCTGAAGTCTTCCCCACAAAGTAGGTTCCAGTTTACAGAGGCAGTTTAAGTAAAATACAAGGCTAATATACCAGTATACATTGATGAGACTGATTTTATCATCATGATCATGTTTAAAATGAAATGAAATGAAATGAAATGAAATGAAATAAAATGAAATAAGATGTTAATGAAGAATGTAAAGTAAAATAAAGTAATGTAAATCAGTTTAAACATGTTAAATGAATACCGTATTCGACGTAATAAGCGCCCCGCTCTAATAAGTGCCCACGGCGATATATATTGGCTAATGAACAATCCCAATTAGCACCACTTCCGATTTATCAAGGTACACAAGACTTATTTATTCGTGTATAATACGCACTCGTGTGTTATATGCACCCTTAATATGGGCATTTATATTCTGGAAAAATGTATCTGTCATATATAAACAGTTCGGACTGTCAGCATTAACCACGAAATTTATCTTTCTACTCTGTTTTTTCCACCAAAGTAATATTCTAATAAGAGCCCCCTATTTCTAATTTTGAGAGCGCTTATTACGTCAAATACGGTATTTGTTTTTAATAAATTTTACAGCTTACAGAGGCATTTTAAGAAAACATTTAAAACTGATTTTATCATGTTTAAAATAAAATAGAATAAATAAGATAAAATAAAAAAATGAATAAAATAAAATAAAATGTTACTGAAGGCTTGTCCCGGAATAACACGAGTTGGTCACGAATGACCTCGTGGCTTGCTGCTCACAATACCAGTCACTGGAGTGTTTGGTCCAGACTTGATTATTTACAGACTGCTGACAAGTAGTTGGAATATTACTGAGCGCAGCCATAAACAACAAACAAACAAACAAACAACACTCAATCACATCTGCTATTAAAACATCAATTGTGTGAAATCCTACACGAAGGTGTGCACAACTATCAATGATCAACTCCCTGGGGAGAATCCGCTGTAATTATTGACACCACTAAAGGGACTTATCCTTAATGCTCAGATCTGCTTACTCAGCATGGGGCTAGTCAACCTGAATGAATGCGTGATTAAATGTGTGACTACAAATCTGTGACATCAGTTGTGTGGAGCTCTCTAATCACAGTTTAGTCATGTTTGGAGATGTGGAGGAGAAAGAGACTCCACGCTAAGCCGGGTGTTTAATGCTGGGATCAGGTCGATGGCAGCGTGGACATAGCCCAGAAGTTCAGACCTCTTATACAGATGGAGCAAAGCTGTTAGCTCTCATTGAGAGCCACTTGAATAGCTCAGTTGTTATGTGTAAATCATTGTATTGAGGCTTGGTTTGAATGGGAGAAACTTTAGTAAAGATGGGTTTTATTTTCTTTGTTGTATTCTGACCTAACGTTAGCCAACACTTGCTGGAGTTGGGTTGGGTGTCAGTGCTTGAAATGACTCTGAAGTGAAGGCCCCCCAGTTGCAAGTCTCTCATCAGTTGCATGAAGTCGCTGGATTGAAATACTATTCGTAGTATTAGAGAAATGGTGTCACCATTTGGTTTCTATCCCTTTTTATCCCCCGCCCAACGAAGTTGGCGGGGGATATAGAAACGGGCTCCGTCCGTCCGTCACGTTTCATTTCCGGAGCATAACTCATAAACCGTTCAATATGTTTTCATCAAACTTTGCAGGTCTGTCAGGTACATGCTGAACTGGTGCCTTTTGCTATTGAGAAATTTTAGAAATTTTTATTTTTTACGTTTCCGTGGCAACAAGATGGACTTAGGTTCCAAACTCATCTTTTTTTTACAATTTCCATGACAAGTTCCAC